CAAAGAGGCTTCTATGTTTCTGTTCATTCCCCACAACACAACTCTCCCAGAAGGAGACTTTAGGACCTAAAAAAAAAAGATAGCAAAACGCCTATCAGCTAGCTTTCTAAACGTAGAAAAGTCTCTTCAATGTTTGCAAACCTCCTTTTGATAAGTTTATTTTAGAGACAGGATCTGTTGTCACTCAGACTGGTGTGTAGTGGGCCAGGTCATAGCTCACTGCAACCTTGAACTAATGCCTGGACTGAAGGGATCCTCCTGCCTGGGCCTCCCAAAGCCTCCCAAAGTGCTAAGATTATAGGTGTGAGCCATCATGCCTGGCCAGATAAGCATTTTAAGACAGTGGAGGGGCTCAGCACCTGTGGCTCAAGTGACTAAGGCACCAGTCACATACACCTAAGGTGGCAGGGTTTGAATCCAGCCCAGGCCTGCCAAAATAACAATGATGGCTGCAACCAAAAAATAGCCAGGCGTTGTGGCGGGTGCCTGTGGTCCCAGCTACTTGGGAGGCTGAGGGGGGGGAGACTTACTTGAGCCCAGGAGTTGGAGGTTGCTGTGAGCTGTGATGCCATAGCGCTCTACCCAGGGGGACAGCTTAAGGCTGTCTCAAAAATAAAATAAAGTAAAATAAAATAAAAGACAGTGGAGGAAAAACCAGGACTAGTGATCAGGAAACTAAATTTGAGGTTACCTACAGATATTAATTAGCTATACAATACTAATAGGTTACTTAATTTTGCTATGTCTCAGGTTCTCTCAATTATAAAATTAAAGCACCAGGTTCCTTCTAGCTAACCAGTGTTATAAAAATGAAGCCAACTATAGTAATCTTACCTTCTTCCATGAAGGCTAGAAGTAGATTCTCAATGCAAGAACCAAGTTTCATTCCCACTCTTCCATAGACAAATAGGAAAAAAATAAATAAATAAAATCCAAGGGTAATGGGGGGTGGGCGTATCTGGAATTCACTCAACAAAAATTTCCCTCATCCTTGGGCAGTGCCTGTGGCTCAGGGAGTAGGGCAACAGCCCCATATACCCACCCCATATACTGAGGGTGACGGGTTCAAACCTGGCCCCGGCCAAACTGCAACAAAATATAGCCAGGTGTTGTGGCAGGCGCCTGTAGTCCCAGCTACTTGGGAGTCTGAGGCAAGAGAATCGTGTAAGCCCAGGAGTTGGAGGTTGCTGTGAGCTATGACACCACAACACTCTACTGAGGGCGACGGAGTGAGACTCTGTCTCTTAAAAAAATTTTTTTTCCTCATCCTTAATAATGAGAGAAGGTACTTTTCTCACAATATGAGAAATCCAAGAGGTTACAACAAGTATGTTTTCCCCCACTTTTCATTTCCCCAATCACAGGAAGGCAATTTTGAGAAACCTCAAAATTAGGGTGCATCCTCTGATTCCCAATGAATAAAGGATTCCTAAGTGGGAAGAAATTATAAATTCACTGTGTTGTGAAAGTCCCAGCCCAGTCTGACCATTTGGGGCAGTCAGCAAATCAACTGTTATCTTAAATGCTCTGATATGCATGTGACTCTCTAGAAACTAGTTTTTAGAAGCTCAAATCAGGAAATGCTAATAATCTCATCTCTACCCCTGAAATAGATTTCCAATGCAAGCCTACTCTCAATTTTTTAAATGTTTTCCAGTCTGAAATCTATGTTAGTTCTTATGTTGGCTCTATTATTTTTTCAGAACTAAAATCTTATGTCTCCCCCTTCCCTCCAAATCAAGATTTTAAGCTTGTTCAGATCAAGGGCTGCATTTCCTATTTCCATCTGTTGACCCCTTTTGTGCAAAGCACTACACTGGACCCACAAAACTCACAGAAGATACCTAACCACCTTAATTCAGGTGTCTTGAGGCAACAAAGTAACAACAAACTACCTCCCTCAGGTTGAGGGAAATAAAATTATAGTGAGGGGGAGAAGAATGTAACAAGACAAATGTATAAACCATCAGTGGGCAGAAAATTTCCAAAGGGGTAAAATTACATCAATTAAGTACTGAATACCTAAACAGTATTCAATTAATTGCTAAAAACAGTGATCAA